TCCCAATATCTGCCTCAGTGCCTGCACGAAGCAGCTCAATAAATGCTAGTCAAATAAGTGAGGAAGGGAAAGATCAATGTAACCTGGAGATGGGATATGGAGGCTTGAAGGAGGGCACGGTTTTAGGAGGTAAAGAGCACAAATGAAGGTACAGGATGCACCAGTGATGAGAGTGGCCTTCTCCCCTCAAGGCATAAAGACCTCTGTTTATGTCCTTCCTAGCACTTCACACTGTGTACTGCTTTTGTTTTCTTTGTATGTCTTCCCACTAGAATAAATCCCCTGGGGGCAAGGGCCACCTCTGTCTTCTTCACCACGGAATCCTCGAGTCTGGCATAGTACCTGGCATACACAGAAGGCACTAGACCCGTATTTGTTGAACATATGAAAGAAACAGGAGTTATCCAAAAGAAACAATGAATCAGCAGGGGACCTCAAAAGCCAAGTTAGGCAGTTTGGACTTATAGTGAAGAGCGTTTAAGGAAGAACTGCAAGTCCTGCTGCAGCAGGGCAAATGACAAAGCTGGGGCTTTTAGTAAGATGTGCCTGGCAGGGGTCACGGGCTGGGGACGAGCAGGGAGGCTGCTGTAGCATAAGGCTCACAAGGGAAAGGTGGCAGAATCTGGTGACTGATGGATGAAGACACAGAATGAAGGCTCCAAAGTGTTTAGCTTGGTGACTGTGCGATAAGGCTGTACAGCCCGCAGTCCTGGCCAGAGATAAGTACTCCAGGGCCACTGCTATTGGCCTGTTTCCAACTTCCCTCCAAAGTGGGAAAGCTGGGAAATGAAAGTGATTTTAAGGGAAGCGTGAATCAAATCCACTTTGACCATGTTGCATTGAAGGTATTACTGGACAGCTCAGTGGAGCATAAATGATGAGACAGATGGGTGCTGAGGACTCCCAAGGAGGGAACAGCTGGAGGTGGAGGAGCATATGAGCCATCTCCTTGTATAAGCAGAGGAGTTTAGGGGACCTTCCACAGCTGGGCAGTCATAGGGAGGGGCCAGCCAAGAAAAGGGTGGCCAAGAGGTAGAAAAAGGGAAGGAGGGAAATGTAATGGAAGACGAAGGAACAACTTTGAAGAAGGGGCAGCCATGGGGTCACAGACCAGAAGCGAAAGTCTATTTGTACTTCACTGAGGTCCCCACGCCAGAGGAACGCCTGACTGTTGGCTTCTGGGACTGGCTGGGAGAGCCAAGGGGGCCAAGTCAGGTGGTTCAGTGTTAGAGAAGGGTTTGCTCCCTGTGCTACCACGCATTCCAGGGTACATACCCCAAACTTTGTGGTGGAGATTGCTAGTTGTCCTCCAAATCCAGTCTTTCCTTCTTTCCATGGTGACAAGACTCCCAAATTTTACTTAGACACAGAGCCACCCAGCTAAAACTCACATTTCTTTGCTTGCCTTGCAGTTTGGTGGGGCCATGTGGCTAGGAAGGGGCAGCTTTTGGGTCTTCAGGTCTCCTTCACACACGCCTCCCCTCTCCCTCTTTACTCCGGTTGGAATGTGGACCAGAAGATGGGGTGGCTGCCATCTTCTATTACATGCACATAAGCATTACCCGAGGTGACGGAGGAGCCATGAGACAGGAGATACCATCAGGCCACCAAGCCAGCCTGGGCCACCTACCCAGACTTCCATACAGAGCATACATTTGTCTTAAACCACTCCACTGTTTTGGGGAACTTTTGTTAGAGCAGCCTAACTCATATTGGAACCCACCATTTAATCCAGTAGACATATCACTTTAGATCAGACCAGAAGTTGTTCCAGCCCATGTCTGCCAGGGTTCCCAAGGGGGAATGAGAGGCCTTTGGCATTTCTCTTGATGAGATCCTATAATATTATAGATCCATTATTTGTAAAGTGATCAAAATTCTTCATAAAAAATGTTCTACTTCCTTAAGGAATGAGTAAGAGCAGTGATTAGCAGCTTCACCATCACTCTCTCCATAACTGGTTCCATTTTTTAGTTCCCTTCTCCTCCCATCCACAGGCCAAGGAGAGTGTGGGTGTGTGTGGGAATCACCTTGCACTCAGTAGTGTTCAGTGCATTTGAGGGACAGAAGCAGGTACAGTCACAAGTGTGAAAGGTAAGAAGCATAAACTCTGGAGCAGACTAAAGTCAGTTACTAACCTCCCTGGGCCTCTGTGTCCTCAACTGCAAATGGGGACAGTAAAAACATCTACTTTTGAAGGAATTGTTAGGATTAAATGAGTGGATATGTGTAAAACACTTAGAACCATGACTGGCAACAGTTAAATTCTCAATTAGTATTGGTCTTTATATATAATTTTAAAAGCAACAGAAAAAAAGGTCTGGCAATGGAATAACATTGTCATTTATAAAGCACAGATGCAGACATTCTCAAGAAATCCTCCTGACAAGGTATCATAATTATCCCGTTTTATGGCAATTGGTTTGGAAGTTTAGTGATTTGCCCCAAATCTTATAGCTAGTAAATTATAAATACAAATGTCACCAAGCCATGTTTTACTCAACCATGAGGTCTCCAAGAAAAGAGACTTCAAGATTCCAGAAAAATAAAGTTCAGAAATACCAGTTCCTTTTAGGCTTGTTTCTCTCAAAAGCCAGGCCACTTTGTTATTGGTTTATCAGTTAACTCCACAAACTGTCATTTATTTAACTGCTTCCCGATCAGAAACAAAGGGGAGGGGCCTGCTGAGCATCCTCACCCCTAAGCCAGGGCTGGGGCTGCTGATCCAGGAGGTGGGAGGTCAGGGAAGGGGTATGCTCAAAAATAAATATCGGAGGGACTGCTGTATACGTAGGGGACGTAAAAACTGAGTGCAATGTGTGAATCTTATTTCGATGCAGATTTTTTTTTTTTTTTTTTAGGCGAGACAACCCTTGGTTGATCTCACAGATTGCAAAGACCTTGTCAGCTTACAATCCTTTATTATTTTTTATTTTTTACACCTACAGCACCTGGTCTTCTTAGGTGGTCTCCCATCCAAGTACTAACCAGGCCCGACCCTGCTTGTCTTCCGAGATCAGACGGGATCGGGCTTGTTCAGGGTGGTATGGCCATAGACTTGATCCAGATTTAAACAAGCCAATTGTTAAAAACATCTTCGAGACAACTGGAAAACTCTGAACTGGGTATTAGAGGATATTATGAAAATGTTCATTTGTTAAGTGTGATATTGACACGGCGATTAGTTTAAACAAACAAAATAGTATCAATCCACGCAAGTATGCTCTATACAAAAAAACCCCTTATTTTTTTGACAAAGGTGCAAACATAATTCCATGGAGGAAGAGCAGCTTTTCAACAAATGGTGTTGGTTCAACTGGATAACACAGGCAAAATAATGAACTCAACCTAAACCTCATGCCATATATAACAATTTACTCAAAACAGATCAAGGACTAAAATGTAAAACATACATCTATAAAAATGTTAGAAAAAAATATAGAAAAATTCAGGACCTAGGGCTTGCTGAAGATTTTTTAGACCTGACACTGAAAACCCGGTCTATTAAAGAAAAAGCTGATCAATTGCACGTCATCAAAATTAAAAACTTTGCTTTGCAAAAGATCTTGTGAAGAAGTTACAAAGACCAGCTACAGAGTGGGAGAAAGTATCTGTAAACCACATGTCTGACAAAATTCTTGTATCCAGAATATATAAAGAAATCTCAAAACAAGAAAACAACCTAATTAGAAATTAGGCAAAAGACTCACATTTCACCAAAGATGATATACAGAAAGCAAATAAGCACATAAAAAGATGTTCAACAACTAGTCATCAAGGAAATGCAAATTAATATCACAATGAGATATTACCACACATCTATGAGAATGGCTAAAATAAAATAACACCAAATATTGGTGGGCTGTGGAGAAACTGGATCACTCATACATAGGAATGTAAAATGGTACAGCCACTTAGGAAAATAGCTTGTTTCTTTTAAAATTAAACATATAGTTAGCATAGGCCCTAGCAATTGCACTCTTGGGCATTTATCTCAGAGAAATGAAAACTTTTATTTACACAAAAACCTATATACAAATGTTCATAGTCATTTTATTCATAATATCCCCAAACTAGAAACAGCCTAGATCTCCCTCAATTTGTGACTAAACAGAATGTGGTATATGCACGCCATGGAATACTACTCAGCAATAAAAGGTGCTATGGACACACACAAGTTGGAAGGCTCTCACTCACTTATGCATTGTGAAACAAAGCCAACCTCAAAAGGTTACCAACTTTGATTCCAGTTATCTATACTTTAAATGAAATTATAGAGATGGAGAACACAGCAGTGGTTGCCAGGCCTTAGGGATGGGGAAGAGAGGTGGATGTGGTTATAGATAGCCTGAGGGACCCTGTGGTGATAGAAATGTTCTGTAACTTGACTGTGGTGGTGGTTACACTGATCTACATGTGACAAAACTGCATAGACACACACACACACACACACACACACGCACAGAGGTAATGGTGAAGTCTGAAAGACTCTGTGGATTGTACCAGTCAATTTCCTGGTTTTGATATTGCACTAGTTACACAAGATGCTACTGCTGGGGCAGCTGAGTGAAGGGTACACAGGACCTTCCTGAACAGTTTTTTTTTTTTAAATATCTTGTGATTCTATAATTATTTCAAAATTGAAAAAGGTCTAAAATTTTTAAAAGATGCATAATGACATATTTACAGGTTAAATGACACAGGTCTTAGATGTGCTTTAAAAAATACTCCAAGAAGAAAAAAAGAAAGAAAAAAAGTAGGAGAAATAGATGAAACAGGATTAAAAAGATGCTAAATGTTGGAGCTGGGTGAAGGATACACTGGGAAAGCATATACACTTTCCTTGCTAATTTTAGGTTTGAAAATTTCCAAAATAACAAGTTTTAGAGTTTCCAATGGCACCTAGTCCGACAGAAGGGCTAAGCCTTGCTTATCTGTCTACAGTCTTTCTCACTGCTATGACTTTTGAATACAAATTAAGTCCAAAGCTTACAATTCTGTTTCATTTACGAAGCTTTTCTTATGACCTTTTATTAAGAGCTCATAAATCACATTAATCTGGCTGTTTCTCCTCCAAGAATTCTTCCAAAGTTATAAAAAATAGAAATTTATAAATACACATTGAGAAGTATGCAGTTTTTACACAAGAGTCAGGTCAATGTTTCAAGTTGTCTAACCATCTCCCAGTGTCTCTCATCCAGAACAGAATTACAGCAGTACAGCCTCTGAAATGCCCACAGCAGAAATAGTGACTCTTCTCCAAATCCCACCTTATCCCTTAGCATAAGGGCACTCAACAGGAGTTTTTCCAGATGGTGACAGCAAAAGAGGAAGTGTGGAAATGTTGACTGGAAGGTTTCCACCTGCATCTGCCATGGCTCAAACTTGGGACTGTAGTTAAACTCAACAGGCCAAGAATCGCCAAGAGCCAAATCACAAACTTCAAGGGGGTCAGCAGAGGCCCACCTGACTGCTTTCAACTATTTGGTCCAGAGCTGGACAGAATCCACTTTTCTCACTAGCATTCTCTCTTCAGTTACTGACATGCAGCTCTTTCCTTCCAGGCGATGGGATGAAGTACCCTAGAGAATAGTGAGGCCAGAGGAACAAGGAGCCTGCTGTCAGGTCACCGAGTGTTTTGGGTTTTCAAATTCATCAAGAGCACAGAAAATTGAGATGATTGTGGAAGCCAAATATAAGGACAGCTGAATGTGGACTTTAGAATGCTAACTCAGGAAACGCATTTACCCGGTGTTTACTTTCAGGTGTCACTGGCACTTTCCTTCCTCAGACTTGGTTTTTAAATCTCTTCCTCTGGAGACCAAAGGATATCTGCTTGCCCAGCATCTTCCTTAAACACATGTTTTTTTGCTGTGTAGGGTACGTCAAGAATGAAATCTTCTCTCCCCAGGAAGCAAAGAGGTTGAAGAAATTCAGACTTGCTCCTGGAAGAACACCTTGGCCTGGCCTGCAGGCTCCTCTCAGCCCCTTCTGCTATGAAGTGGGAGAGCATGGTCTTCTGTCCATGCCAGCTTTCCAGTAGAATGACCAGGCTTCTCAGCTTTCAGAATACAAGGCCAAATCCACCCCTCAATATCTCATCATCGACTCCCCGCCCTCCATCAAATCATTTTCCTATTGTTTGAAATCGGTGATTCCTCTATCAAGTCATAGCATAATATATCCACTGATCTAGGCTCCTGTCAGAGACAACTCTTTTGCCAGGATAGGGCAGGACTTGGTAGTTCCCAAGCATACATTCCAGGGGGAAATAATGTTGAAGCTGGGCGAAGGGTATATGGGGAAAGTATATACACTTTCCTAATTTTGGGTTTGAAAATTTCCAAAATAAAGTTTTAGATGGTTCCCAGGGGTACCTAGTCCAACAGATAGATAAGCCTTACTCATCCATCAAGTTTTGTCTGACTTTCCCCCCTGTTCTCTAGCAGATAAATCTCTCAGGAGAGAGGGTTGCCCTGTTTTAGGAAGCTCAAATGCTAATGAGAGAATCAGTGCTGCCCTTATGCCATCGCTCTCCTCCACGTTACATCCCTGCCGGCCCCAGATCAAGGATACGTGGACTTCCTGTTTCCAAGCTCGTGAGAGAAGGCAAAGTGAGCTTTGCTCAGCTTCAACAGGATACCTGGAGTCCAGGTGAGGAGAAAAATTAGAATGAGGTTCTAGGAAGATAAATTGGTACCACAAATCGTGAGTCAGTAAAAGGGGATATCCTGAAATAGAAACTAGGCAAGTGGGCTTTCCGGCAGAAAGCAAAGCAGGCAAAGAACTCTTTCTTTCCTGCCACCTTCCCTGGTCTTCCGGGTTTCAAAGGGACCAAGTCCTACGATAATAAATAAAATCATTGGCTGCTCCTATGCCCCACAGTATGACCTGGTTGATTAAGCCGTGTTGTTACCACTGTATCTTCCTCAAACATCCAGTGAAAATAGGTAATCTTAATAGAGTTTGCTACTAAAATCATGCCCAGTCACATCCCAGTAGCCTTGGCTGGATCGCGATGAGGCCACCCTCTCCTCTTCCCTGGAGTGGCTTTAACTCCTCCAGGAGGGTGGTGTCCGCGTCTCTGTACAAGGCAGGTTTCCTTCTCAGCTCACGAGAGGGACCTAGAAGGAAGAGGAATCTATGGAGCTTGCCTGGTGTGGGCCCCACATACTCTCCTTCTAGCGGGGAACAACTCCAGGGCTGTGAAGGTTGGTACCCAGGCTGCGGGAGGCTCAACCTCTATGCAACAAGAGGTACATACATATGGGAGACAAGAAAGGAGAGGAAAAAAGAAAATATTTCCTCTCACCAGAAAAGCTGTCCCCAAGGTTCAGACCCACCGATGAACCTTTCTTTTCTGCCAAGGAGCAGGGAAGACCAGAGAAGCCAGAGAAGCCTCTCTGCGCCCAGCCTGCAACTCACTTCTTCCTGCGGATCTTGGGCTTCTTCACAGGTCGCAGATAGGGGTTATCGATGATGTTCTCCTCCCCATTCCGGCTCCCCGGCAAGGAGGGGTTCTGCTGCAGGACAGAGGTATTCTCCTTCTCGGCTCCAGAATCATCCTTTGAGCAAAACACCAACGGCATAAGGAAAGAGATCATGCCCATCATAAGAACTATTAGCATCCTTTTCATTGAGATTGGAAGCCCAGGGGCCACCTTCTTTTCGGGGCCTATCTGTGCCTCAGATGAAATGAGGCCCAGGTAGCGGCTGGCTATCAGAAGAAGGTGAGACCAACAGCTTTGACACAGTGGGGCACAGAACACAAAACCCCAAACTCTTGACGAGGCAGGGATATGAGTTAGAAAGAATAGAGACCTGGGAGGGACAGGGAGTTATGGGATAAAATTTAGATGCTTCAGGGAGAAAGACTAACCTGTGGGGAGATAAAGAAAGAAGAAAAGCGACCCTCTATGCTTTGCAGGACTGAGAGACACGGGGTCAGAACAAATCATGTGCAAAGGGCCTCTTGTGGACCAAAGCTAATGTAAATCGTAAGAGATTTCCCCCAAATTCTCAAATATCTGGTACTTGCAACATGGTACCAATGAGCATATTGTAGCAGAGGCCAGAAACTTCTCGAGTCCTGAGGGTTTCTACCAAGGCAAGGCAGAGCGTGCAGACACCAACACCGGAACATCATCGATAACCCCCATCTGTGACTTGGGGATCAGGTCTCTCACAGTCTGGTTTCTAAGGAAAGTGATTTTGTAGAAAGGTTTGTAAATCTATATATATATTCAATAGGATCCCGATTAAAAATTTTTAAAAATCACAATTGTGTGTAGACTGGAAAAGTAATATGTTGAAATTTTAAAAACTAGTTCTGGGAATGTAAGTGACTGGTTCTCCTTTCCTTATTTATACTCTTTTATTTTCCAAGTTCTGTGAAGTGAGCAGAAGCTGCGGAGGAAGGGGGAAATCACGTGAAGAACTTGCTCTGGAAGCTCAGGCCTACGTGACTAAGTGACCAGAAGCTGGTTGGGCTGCGCCCTCTGGTGACAGGCCAACAGTTCTTTCACTGAGATTCCTGTTCTGTACCATGAGGAAAAAGGCGACCTAACTTAGACAAAGACATTGTTGTAAACAAGGCAGAGCAGAGGACACTGTGATTAGATGGCACAAAATGAATAGCAGACTCTTGCAGAGACCGCTGGCCTAGGATGCAGACAACAGTCTTAGGCTTAATGAACCTGAAGAAATTGGGTCACTTCTAGGTTCCACTACACGCCATCCAACTGTCCCATCAATTGTGTTCTCCCTAAAGACCCAGTTCCATATAGAGTCCCTGTGCTCTCTCCAGTACTAGATGTGGTGGGGCCACAAGGTGACTTAGAGCCATGTGGACCTTCTGGAGGTACTCCTGAAAGCAAGTACCCCAAGATCAACCTAACTCATACCAGACACAAGGTCTGACCACAACCAGACCTGCCTTGGATAACAGACTCCCGACCTTTCTGAAGTTCTTAATGGCTTGATTTAGTCACTCCCTACTCACATCCCTTCTCTTCTCTGTGATAACGCCCTATCTTCAAAGTTACTGGAAGGTCCCTTCGGCTGTGCCTTTAGTGTTTCCTGAGATAACAGGATGGAGGTGACACAGCAATGCTGAAAAGCCAGCCTTTTGACCTCTGCTGGAGGGTACTGAGGCTCCCTCCACTCCCTCCACTTGGCTCTGTCTCACAGGCCAAAATGTGGGTCCCGTTTTGGGACAATAGCTTCTCTTCTCCCAAGTAAAGCTTCTGGAAATTCCACTTTCTTTCCTCTTTCAGGGACGGGTAGCGGAGATGGGGAAGTACAGGAGGAGTTGATAAAAGTACTGAACTGACTGAGATTTGGTGGGGGGGGGAGGGGGACGGGGAGTGAGATCGGAAGGGTCTGTCAAGAGCCTGTCCAAGTCTTTAAAGGCCAGACTGGCAATGCATGTGTGCTCTAATGAACCCCACGCCTCGGGGTGACTGCATCCAGTCTCAGCTTTTTCCACACCAACAACTTCCTCATGTACCTCTCCCCTGCCCTCCAGGCTCACACAGCCACTGCTACTCGACATCTCCATTTGGGTGTCAAGTAGGCCTTTCAAACTTATGTGTCTAAACCTGAACTCAGGACCTTCCCCTACACATAATGAGTTCTTCCCGCAGTCCTCCAGTCACAGGTGATGGCATCTCCTTTCCTTCTCTGACATCCCACATCCAATCTGTTGGGAAAATTTCTTGGCCTTACCTTCAAATTACAGGCAGAATTTGACCACTTTCACTATCTCTACTGCGACCATCCTGGTAGGACCCATCACTGTCTCTTGCCTAGACGACTGCAATGGCTTCCTAACTGATCTCCTTCCACAGTTCACTCTCTGCCTGCGCTACGGACCATTCTCATCACAGCAGTCAGCAGTTCTGGAAGAAGTTCGGATGTGTCCCTCCTCTGCTCTACACCTTTCCATAACTCCCATTTCACCCAGTTAAAAGCCAGTTCTTAAAACCGTTTACAAGGCCCTACCTGATCTTACCGCTTCCTCTCCCTCTCTGCCTTCCTCGGCCACCCTCACACTCGTCTCCACACTGTTCCTCAGGGCCCTTGTACCGGCTGTTCTCTTTCTGGGGAAGAACACTCTTCCCCAAATACATGGCTTGCTCTCTCACCTTCAGGTCTCATCTCAAATGTCACCTTTTCAGTGATGTCTGCCCTGAATATCCTATTTAAAACTGAAGCCTCCACTCTGGATCTCCCCCTAGTGGGTCCTTCCTACCCGACACTTTCATCTTTAATATACTATAATGATGTATTTATATATTTACTGTTGTTCCTCCACTGCCAACACATAGGCTCCCCAAAGGCGATGTTTTGTTTGTTCTGTTCACTGATGCGTCTGTCCCAAACACTCAGAAAAGTATCTGGCAAATATCACCATGTACTAAATAAATACTTCATAAGTAAATGACTGGTACCATTGCTCATAAAAGAGAAAAAGTTTAGACACTGGGATTGCCTGCAGGAGACAGCTAGTTCAAGTGGAAAACAAAAACACTTATACATTAATTTAAAATGACAGTCCTTTTATGTTCAAATAGATGGAAAAACCAGAATCAGGTTAAGTAACTACCTAGAAACAGTCCCTGAGAGACGTGCTGCCATCAAAAGTTAAAGGAATCACCTGTGGTCAATACCAGTTATTTAATTAACTAACAATGTCTGTAAATGCTAACGATGGAAAACAACGTAAATGTCTACAGGGGACTGGTTAAATTGTTACATCCGCAAAATGGAATATGATGAGGCCGTGAGGAGGGATGAAGAAGCTCCTTATATCCAGGTAGGGAATGACTGCCAAGATAGATAGATTGATGAGGGAAACAGCAAGGGCAAGCCATTTGTGACTTGCCATCTGTGTTCAAAGCAACAATAAAAAAAACTATGTCTCTAGAAGGACACACAAGAGACTGGTGATTGGTTGCTTTGTAAGAGGGAAAGTGCATAGCAGGGAATAAGAATGGGAAAAAGAATTATCACCATACATCTTTTTATACATTCTGAGTTTTGTACATTTTGAAACATATAATTATATTGGCCAGTCCAACATAGTAAGATTAATAAGTCCAACTGATTGTATACAAATTGTTGCTAGAATCCTTTTCTTGAAGTCTTTTATTTTTTTACAGAGCTTGTGGTTGTACAGCCTGAAACAGCAGGGGAGGGAGCAATGGGTGCCATGAACTGCCATGTGCCAGGCACCTGATATATATTAGCTCATTTTATCTCAGGCTCCCACTTTCCCTTGAGATAGGCATCGTTCCTACCCCTAACCGGTTGTTCTTGTGAGGAGACAGACTCAGATGCTGGGCAACAAAACCAAAGCCACGTATCTGGGAAGTAGCACAGTCTGGATTTGAAGGCAGGCCAGTCTGACTCCCAGGGTCAGGTCTTTCTACTCTTTGCTGTCTGGCTTGGCCTCTCGGTATCCTGCGGTGCTCAGGCAGCTCCTGGCATTCTTTCAGCCTTGGTTCACACACTGCCATGACCTCACCTATGTCATTACCTGGAGTGTTAGATAACACATCTGCAAGCCCTTTAACTACTTTGTACTTACAAAGGGATGGTGATGTTTGCTTAGAAGATTCCTCCTCATAAGGTGAACCTCATCTTAGTCCATGACCCAATCACCAAATCTCAGACCAAATTAACTGAGTCCAAAACAGAAGTGTAGAATAACAAGTTCCTCTGCTTTGTGTAAAGCCATGGGCTCCCAGCCCTAATTCTGAAAGGAATAATTCAACATTAAAGAAATGGTGTTCAAGCAAGGAAGAGCTTTAGCAAATAACAGTTATTCAGCAAATAACTGGCATTCTTCACCTCAAACAGGAGCTGCTGGCTGCCACTAGGTACATCGTCCCTTAGAGCACATGAGGAATGCTCAGTCCAGCTTCAACTACTAAGGCATCTTCTGCTTAAAAGCCACGGCCGACCTTAAGGATGGATGAATATGGTAACCTGACTATTAGGGTTCTGTAATCTTTAAAGGGATTGGAGCTTCCAGCAGTTCTGTGACTCTCTTTGTACTTTCTTACAAGATGCTAGAATAAGAGTGGGCTCTTATCCTGTTACTCGCCAAGTACAACACATCGATAATCAGAAAAGAACACCCACAAGTTCCAATGAGCACATCTCCTCACCCACCTTCATCTCTGTAGTCACGTACTCTCTCCTATCCTGGATATGAGATGTCCAGAACAAGGCTAACCCCTCCATTTGGGCACTAGATCCCATGCCCTGTCACCTCTCAAAGAACATCATTCCAAAATGCTTCTCTCGCATCAATTTTCCCCCTCTACCAGATCATTCCCATTAACATATAAACATCTTATTTCTTTTATCCTAAAACACAAAAATAAAAAACACCTCTCTTAACTCCTTTCTTTTCCCCCTTTAGTTACCACTCCGTTTCTCTCCTTCCCTTTACAGAAAAGTTCCTTAAAACAATTGTCTGTATAAGTGCTGTCCAATGGAACTTTCTGTGATGATACAAATGTTCATATCTGTAATGCCCAGCATGGCAGCCACTAGGCATAAGTGACTATTAAAACGTAGCTAGTGTAACTAAGGAACTGAATTTTAATTAAATTTAAATTTAAATAGACCTGTGTGGCTAGTGGCACTGTAACGGACAGCATTAGTCTATCTATACTCACCGACCCAATTCCTCTTCTCCCATTCTGTGACTTCGCTGCAGGCCCTTGCTTTGATTCTTACTGAAATTGTTCTTGTCAAAGTCACAAATTATATTCACTTGCCAATCTAATGGACAAATTCTCAGTCCTTATATTACTAGAACTAACTGCAGCTTTTGACCCTGCTAATAACTCTTTCCTCGATGAAACACTTTCTTCCCCTGGCCTCCAGGACACCACATCCTCCTGGTTCTCCTACCTCTCCAGTTTCTACATCTCCTAGGCTGGTTCCTACTCATCTGTTCACCCTCAGAACAGTGGAGAGCCCCAGGGCTCAGTCTTTGCATCTCTTCTCTTTTTAATGTTCATTCATTCCCTAGGAGCTCATCTAGTCTCAAGATTTTAAACACTATTCATACGCTGATGCCTCCCAAATTTGCATCTATAGCCCTAACATCTCCTCAAACTCTAACTCATACATCCATCTCTACCTGACATCACCACCTGGATGTCTAATAAGCATCTCAAACTTACCTCGTCTAAACCTAAAACTCCTGGCTTCCCCCGCCACCTTCCTGTTCCTCCTAATACTCTTCCTTATCTTGGCTGAAGGCGACTCCATCTTTCCTGTTGTTCAGGCAAAAAACCTGTGCATTTACTTTTGACTCTCTCCTCTCACATGTCACAAACATTTTATCAGTTGGTTCTGCTGAAAATAATCTAGAATTGGACCAAATAATCTATCTGACCACGTCTCATTATCTTTGCTTCTACCACCATCTCTTAGTTTACTGTACCAGCTTCCTAACTGGTATCTCTGCTTCTGCCCTAACCCTCTACAGTCTTCTCTTAACATAGCAACCCAACTGATGCTGTTAACAAACTCACACCAGTTCCTGACCCTCCTCTGTTTAGCACTGCCCAAGTGTTTAATATAGCTTTTAAGACCTGACTACCCCATCCCCTACTCTGTCTCCTCCTTGGTCATACCATTCTGGCCACCCAAATGGCCCTGCTGTTCTTCAACACCTCAGGGACTTTGCACCTACTGTTCCCTCTGTGAGGAATGCTCTCCTCCCAGATATGTGCAAGCTTTGTTCGATTAAGGTCTTTACTCAAATGTCACCTTCTCAGTCACCCTAATACCATTCCCCCATGCCCATATCTAGTTCCTATCTCCTAATCTATTATTTTTCCTTAGCACCAAGAGAGCAGGAAATTTTGTCTATTTTATCTCCTACTGATTCTCCAGTACCTGGAACTAAGCCTGGCTCTGGCGGGCACTCATTTAATATTTGTTAAATGAATGAATGAATTCCCAAAACACGAACTTGCCTCTCAAACTAGAGAGCATGTCACACCGGGATCAAGAGCCCATCATGCAAATCCCTAACATAAAGGCAGAGACCTGGGGTAGGTCATGTCCAATTCCTAGAGTGACAAGTTGAGGGCAGTATGGGCTAATTTGGGGGGGATACTGTGAAGCAGGCAGAAGGCAGGACCCACCGTGCTGATATGAAGAGGGAGGTTCTCTGTGTCTGTCTGCTCATCCTGCTCCGAGGAATCCGTCTCCTCCATTTGTTGCATCTCCAGCTCAGATGGAAGAAGAGCTGTCAGGTAGGGGATGGTGAAAGGTCTGGCAGCAATCACTGGGGGATTGGAAGAGAGGCACGAGTCCACTGTCATGGAGTCCTGGCAGCTGGCCCAGAGCCTCACAACAGATCAGTGAGCAGCACCAAATGACAATAATGGCTAACAAGCTTGGAGCCCTTACCTCAGGCCAGGCAATGTCCCACAGGCTTCACACGTGCTATCCTTAATCCTCACCTCGACTTTAATAGCTAGATACAATTACCAACCCCATCTTACACATGAGGAACCTGAGGCAACAGAGAGGTTAAGTGACTTCCTCCAGCACACATAAAGTGGCAGGGTGGGATTTGAACTTGGGCAATATAACTTTAGAATCAACTTTTCCCAAGTACGATGAAAATCAGACAGAACTGGGGCTGAATCCAGCAAAGCATCAGTTTAGTGGTCTTGTACCCATGGCCAGTTAAGCCCTCTAAGCCTCATTTCTAGAGCAGAGATATTTATCCCATCAGCCTGAAGAATCAAGTCCAAATATTGGACTTGAGAACTCTCTGCATGTAAGTGTATCCACTGAGGTAGAGGGCACTTCAGGTAAATGAGAATTCCAGTTCTTCCAAAAAGCACTAAGGATGAGAAGAAGAAATTGTTGATAAACAATACAAGTCTTTATGTACTTCTATGGTAGAATGGGATTATCAGGAGACACTACGATTATTTTTATGTGGCTCAGATGTGAGGTTCTACAGTCAGAAAAAGCTAGGTTTGAAAGCTACCTCCCAGCCATGTGACCTTGAGTGAGTTACTTCATTTCTTTTTTCTATAAATCTTGACTTCCTATAACAGCTCCTAACTCACAGGTCTCTGAGAGAATTTAATGAGATGCTGTAGGGAAAATGATTAGCACAGCGTCTGGCACTTAATAACTTAGCTATTATTTCAAGCCAGGCACAAAGAAAACAATCACTAAATAAATCACCCGGACCAATCTCCCTCATTCACTTCTGGAAAAACTGGGGCCTATGGAGATGATGTCACTTGGTGAAATGGTAGTGCTGAGAAATTAAATGAGATGGTACCTGTGAGAGGACATGGTGAAGGGCAAAGCCTGGCAGATGTTCTGTAATTGCCCCACCCCTTGATGCCAGTGTCCCTTCTACTACCAGGGCTGCCACTTCTACTTTATGAGTCTCTCTCTGATGCCCAGGGCTCAATAACCTTTGAGGTAATCTAAACTAAATGTACCTCAAGCAGCCAATCCCAAAAGAAGCCATTACTATTTCAGAGTCATTGGTTAGGGACAAAACCCTTAAGACCTGAGAAAAGGAGCCAGAAATCTGAGGAATAACATGAACCCAAGACAAGAACAAATCGTTATTTGTTTCTTCCTACCATGCTGAGAGAAAGGGAAGATGTTATAACTATTTTAAATGACAAGACAGGGTCCACAGAGGGGAGAGACTCTCACATGGAAATGTACTGACGTCATCTTTGAAAAGACTCTGGGTCTCGCCTGTCTTGGCCATAAAACGGGTGAGTGCCCGCTCTACATCTCGTCTCTGGGATGCAGCTTTCTCCCGCAGGACCTGGTAGTCTGACACAGGTTCACGGTATGTCTAAAAAGAGAACAGCAAAGACACCAGTGATAGACCAATGGGTCATTCTGCTTCCCTCAGGTCCCTGCCTTGCTGTTGCTATGTCCTTCCTTCCACCCTTTAAATGACCCACTACCATCATTCAGAGCAGAGATCCCCAAAGGGCCTGGGAAGGACAGAAAGAAATTAATATAACTATCATTAACATTTATTTTTAGTCTGAAAAATTAAGAAATGCACAAGTATTTACTACAGAGTGACTCCAGGCCTTCATTTAGCTCCCATGACAGCTGGTCTCAGATGTAGGAGACAAATCCTGAAGGAAGAGTGGGAATCCTGCAGGAAGCCCTGACAGGGACCACCAGTTCCATCCGTGTATTGTGACACTGTGGAGTATGCAAGTGGTTGCTTAAGTGGATTTGTGGATTGTACCGCCTTGTTTTCTTAAACCAATCTTGGTTTTCTTAAACCAAAATGGACATGTTGTCCCAAATGATTCTCTCAAAGAGCTGGAGACTGAAGATATTAATGTAAGAGCAAGTGAACAAGAAAATGGCAGGCCTGATACTCCTCCTCCTAATTCTGAGCTCTTTGGCAATCAAGTTATGGAGTGAAAAATGACTGAGATCTAATCAGAACGAGAAGTTGGCCAAAACATTTTAAGTTGCAACTGTAAAGGCCACTTTAACAGTGACCTCTGTGATGTGGAGACAGGGCTTTTAAAGGCGGCCATGGGAAACATTTCCACTGATGTCAATGTTAATTCAGGTGTGTCACCTACATATAGTTCCTGTGTCCACACTGAAACACAGAAACAGTGTTTTCCGACATGTTTAAAATCTTCCTAACATAAAGAATTTCAGTGACTTTTGAATATGTTTGTTAGAAACAAAAAATTCAAGACCCTGACATCATTTAAGAAAACTGAGATTCAAGAAGCTGGAAATGGAACAGAAAAATTTAAACAAAATTCTTTGGATAATTGGTAAATGAGAATGAAAAAAATTACTTTTGTAATTTTTTATTAAGGGGAGCCAATGATGCTACATGTCTTTGTAACGTAACTTTTTCAACTATGAGAGCCATTAAAGTATCAAAATAAACTGATCTTAGAATCAGACCTCCAACTTATTATTCCATCAAGTATTAAACCAGGATTTCAAAAAATAAAAAGCAGAGGCAATCAGTGAAAAGGTTTCCTGAACCTTTAATAAGGGTCAGATTATTTTTTAATGCACATTATTTTAGTACAATATTACATCGATTCATGTAAATAAGCATGAATATTGGAGTACATGCTTAATCAATTTTTACTGACAGAGACAGACTATAAGAGTTAGAGATTGTTATGGGTTGAATTGTGTCCCTCTAAAAAAGATATGTTGAAGTCCTAACCCCCAGTATCTCAGAATATGATCTTATTTGGAAATAGGGTCATTGCAGATATGATCAGTTAAGGAAAGGTCATATGAGAGCAGGGTGGGACCCTACTCCAATATGACTGGTGCCCTTGTAAGAAAATGGCCATATAAAGAGAGATACAGAGAGAACACCATGTCAAGACAGAAGACTGGAGTGCTGCATCTAAAAGTTAAGGAACACCCACAGATTGCCTACAAACCACCAGAAGCTAAGAAGAGGCAAGGAAGGATTCTTTCCTACGGGTTTCAGAGGGAGCATGGCCCTGGCAAGACTTTGATTTTGGACATCTAGCCTCCAGAACTATAAGACGATAAATTTTTGTTGTTCTATGTCACCTAGTTTGTGGCACTCTGTTATGGCAGCTCTGGGACACTAACACAGAGACTACTGATCAAGGGCAACGGCTGTATTGAAATGGTGGGTGACAACCTATTCCTCCCCACACCTCATATCCCGAGGTGTGAGAAGTGTCCTGGAGGACTTGCCCCAACAGCCCGCACAATGCCATATGTGCATCAGTATGTGCTCTGGAGGCGGGGACAAAATAACTGTGTGGAAGAGCCTCTGGGGACTCCTCTGCACACCAAACCTTCCCAAAGGAGAGTGAAACTGCTAATCCAGCAAATGACAACACATTTGAACCATAGAAGGCAACTCAATTTGACTTCATTCTGACCTAGAACCCAGAGTTATAATAAGTTTCATTTCATGATATCACCAAGTATGTTTTAAACAACATTTCCTCCGATTTCAAAAATAACTCTTCCTATTATGGAAGATTTGGAAAACCCAGAAAAGTGCAAGCAAAACAACAAAAGTTACCTATGACCCACTGAGAATTATTATGAACATTTTGTGGAATATCTTTCTAGTTATGTGGCTAGGTACTCCTGCGTTTTGGTAAGACAGGCAAAATTGTGCCAGCTTCAATTTGTGTTTAACTATATATTTTTTTTGTCTTAACTTAAGAACACAATTCTCCTTTGCCAAATTGTTTAACAATGAGAAAAGACATTTTGCGTTCTGAGCCCACCTTTCACCAACAAATTTTTGGACTCCAGTCTGACACTCACTAGAAATGGACTGCTTTGCCTCAGTCATAGGCCAGTATCATGTCCTCGTCACTCACCGGAGTTTTGATGTAGGTGTGGGGGTCAGGAAACTCAGGAAAATGGCTGGGGATGTGTGGCGGGTGGGGTCGGTTCTGCCCTGCAGTGAGGGCCTTAGGCGTCACAGGCTGATTGGTCACTGGAGCTGCAACAGAGTCATAACCAGTTACTTTTCCATCTAAGGCCTTGGGTCTCTACCTAAACCCTCCTTTTCTCAAAGTAAATGCTGGACCTCAATTTTCTGAACAATAGGGACCTTGTATTTCTAGCAATAAAAAGCCTTCGATGGCTTAAGGACCTGAAAAGGTCACCCCCACATGCCCAGCCCTGATGGACTGACCTTGGGTGACATTCCTATCTACCACAATCTGCCTGCATGCCTCTTAGACAGGTGAATGGGTGGCTGTGACATCGTTCACGACATAAAAGATGTTGAGGAACTAAGGGTTAGATGGGCTGCAACTCTCATTTTGAGAATCCAGATAACAAAGACATAAAATATGCCAGAGTAAGCAAGCATGGGCTAATGATAACAACAGAGGATTGAAAATGGCACCTTCCACAGCTACTTTGAGAGGGAACTTCTTCAAAAGATGCTTGCTTGAAAAAAATGATGAAAAAAAAATCTAGTGAATTTTTCTCAGGTCCTACAAGACCACACTAGTTACTCCCAACTCAGTTGATGGCAATTTATCTAAGGCACAGGTCATCGAACTTTGTGTAAAGAGTCACAGAGCAAATATTTTATGTTTTGCAAGCCATACAATCTGTCACAATTACTCAACTCTACCATTACAGCATAAAAACAACCATAGATAATAAGTAAACACGGCTGTGTTCCAATAAAACTTTATTTACAAAAACAGATGGTGGGCCACATCAGGCTTACAGACTATAGTTTACTGACCCTTGATCTAAGGAAAAACAAGAGCTTTTGTATCTTTCAAGCAGCATCAACTGCCCTTCTGGGGCTAAAGCACAAGAACTACAGCAACATCTCAGAGACAGTTTTCCTTTCTAGTGACTGAAATTCACACCCCAATCCTATTAGCCCAAAGATTATATTATATATATATCCCCAAATAATGGAATGGAGCCTGCAACAAGGAGGTAGCTACCACACTGATCCCTGCTCTATTCAACTAATTCATTCCACAAGCATTCATTGAGCACTTATTACCTCAGTTCAAAGTCACTTACGGGCAGTGATGACCATCCTCTGAGAACGTTTTGCATAAGCAGGGAGAGTGTCCACATTGAAACCTAAGAAACAGGAAAACAAAAATCACTGTGGATACTGAACATGGAGAAGGGGAAGTATTTCACTGTGGTGAAATAGCTTAAACTCCCAACTCAGGTGTTTTACTGCCACTCAAAGCTCCAGCAGAATCCTCCAACAGGGATTAGGAAGTCTCCTAAAAGGGTTTAGAAGAACCTTCTCTTAATAATCCTTTCAAGCTAAAAGCAGACCAGAAGAACCATGAGAAAATCTGAAATCACGCAACAGACATGGCTCACTCCTGTGGACTCCTTTCCCTTAACTCCAAATCAGCTGCATTGAAGAAGTAGAAACTTGTGTACTCACCCATCTCAACAAGTGTGACCACGATATCTGACAGTGTGGGCTGAGTCCTGGCTGTGTGCTCACAATAAGACTTGGCACTTCTCCCAATTTCTGAAATGTCTGGGAAAGGATCAAAGGCATAAAGTCTTATTCTCAGTTTCCAAAAAGTTAAACATAGAATTACTGTATGGGCCAGCCATTCCACTCCTAAGTATACACCCAACAAATTGAAAGCAGGGATTCAACCATATACTTCTATACCAATGTTCACAGCAGCATTATTCACAATAGTCTAAAGGTAGAAACAACCCAGTACCCAGTACCCACCTGTTCATACAGGTGAATGTATGAACAAAATGTGATCTATCCATATAACAGAATATTACTTAGCCATTAGAGATGAAGTACTGATACATGCTATGACATGGATGAACCTTCAAAACATTACGTTAAGTGAAATAAGTCAGACACAAAAAGACAAATGTTGCAAGATTCCACTTATATGACGGAAAAAAAATTCATAGAGACAAAAACTAAATGGGAGGAGGGCTGGGGGAATGGGAGAATGGGGAGTTATCGTTTATGGGTTCAGAACTTCTGTTTGGAATGATGAAAAAGTTCAGGAAATAGATAGTTGATGGTTGTATCAATATTGTGAATGTATTAAATGGCACTGAATTATACTTAAAAATGATTTAAATGATAAATTTTGGTATGTATATCTTGCCACACACATACAAAAAAATCTTATTGTTTGTATTGTCTGGTGGGCAATTTTTTTTCTTCTGCCTGAAGTTGAACCTCTATTAAAAGTCTGAAGTTCGGATAGCCAGTTAACTCAGTTGGTTAGAGCATGGTGCTAATAAAAATCTGAAGTCCTTCAGTGGAAAGGGGAAGGTATGAAGCTGAACTCCATGAATGAGCTTCTAAAGTGGATGGGAGGTTTCATGGAAACTGAAATTGTGCTCAATTTTACACACAAAAATCCATGGGTCCACAGAATTTATCAGATGTAAAAGGGGTCCAAAAAGGTATAAAACCCCTGTTCTAGGGGCCTAATGGTTCAGAAGATAAAAGCAAGTGGTACTTAATAGGGAAGGTACTTGACTGAAGACCTACCACCAGCTGGCCTGAACAAGTCACCAGTTCTAGACTCCACACATGAAAACAGAGGGCAGCATTGTTTACTGTGGGGAACATCTAATTAGAATCCCCGTACATTTTAGAAATAAGCCAGTTAAAATATCTTCATCCATTTGGCTTTTTTCTTACTTGCCAGCAGGTGCATGGATGTCAAAGGATATGTACAGGCAATGTAGAAAACAACACGGAGATGTTGCTCTGAGTAAGGGTGAATAAGATATATAGAATAAGTCTAAGAATGGAATCCCTAGAAACAAAGTGATTGTAGTCAATAAACACAATTATGCCTAATGCTTATAACTGACATAATCCTAAAACTTTGATATCCAAAGCCTCTGACAACATGAAGGTGCCCAAGTCTTAGCAAGCCCTCAGCTTAAACCATTCATCCTTGATTTTCCCCTGGCTGAAGCGGAAGATTTTTACACTATCTTCAAACCTTTTAGTTCTAATACTCATAGCTTCCAGCACAAATATTTCAGCTCCAACTCCTTCAGTGACAAACACTTTTTTCTGAGAGAAAAAAGACCTTTTGTCCAGTAGTATAGGAAAGAACTGCCTCAACTCTAAGGACCTTTAAACTCGGAATTGCAAGATCTTTTCAAGAACTGAATTTTTACCTGTTGGAAACTATTAGGACAAAAGTTCTCAAAGTGTGGTCTGGGAATCCATGGGCATGCCTGAAATTCTTTCCAAAGTCCACAGGACAAAACTGTTTTCATAATAAAATTAAGACATTCTCCGACTTTTTCACTCATTCTCTCATGTAGTTTTCTTGAGGCTATGTGACCTGTGATGATAATCATGGCTCTGATGGATAATAATCATATGCTTATTCATTCTTATGTTTTAAAATTTTGTTTTATTTTCTAATGTGGCAAGAATCTATGTATAAATACATAAAGCCCATGTATATTTACATGTAAATATATCTGTATAAAATATATAAATTTATATATAAAATATCTATGAAATTTAAATATATACATATTTATATATAAATAGATAAAAAATATTTAAAGCCCATGTAAACACAACTCTACAGAGTCCTCAAGATTTAAGAGTCTACAAGGGTTCTAAAACCAAAAAGTGTACAATCACTGCTTTAGGAAAACATTTAGTACTTAAAAGTTCCAAACTTCAGAGAGCCACCTCACCCCAGATCTCGCCTTCCGGAGGCGGCCCAGATCCAGTGACTGATCACGACCAAAGTAAAGGCACGGCCTTTCTGCCTGATGTGGGATACCGTATGAACAATTATCACCCCAGAGTGCCCCACTGAGTTGGCCAATTCTTTGTTTGGCCTACACTGCAGTTCAACTTCTGCCTAAACCTTTCTCTCACTTCCATTGTTAGGTGGTGATCCCCCAAAATACCTCCATCCCTCATTCTATCCTACCCCCCAAAAAGGCCCAAACAAAAAGGAAATATACTGTACATGCACAAAAGCCTCAGTGAGATCATTCTAGACTCCTATACCTCAAGATACTTCCTTTTAAAGGTGTTTTTTCCCCATTCTATAAAACTTATTCACCCTTACTCTTTGTATTAGATAATATAGCATTTGATTATGTCATGTGGTGGCATCTGTATGTACTGTGGGAATTAATCCTGACTCTCCAACAAAACTGAAAGTTGAGTACAGAACACAAACAGCAATAGTAACAGCACCTAAAACTCATCAAGAGCTTACAATGTTCCCATCATCAAATGTTTTATGTATACATCTCACTTATACTCACAATTCCATGAGGTGAAATTATTATCCCATTTCACAAATGAGGAAATTAAGGTTCCGTAGGTGTTGCGACTTGCCCAAGCTATTAAGTGGCAGAGATGACTTACACCCACGTCTATCTGATTCTAAAGCCTGTAAATCACTTTCCTATGTTCTTTCTCTTAAATCCTAAGACAAAGCAGAACACAATAGATGCTTGGTTGATATGAAAAAGGCCTATTCTTTCCTGGTACTTACAGCTCTGTAGCATCTCTGTCAATGTTTCCACAGATGCTTTTTCAGCGCTCTCAAACCCTGCCTCTGTCAACAAGGAGCTCACAACCACTTGCAGCGTTCGCCTCCGGGCCAGATGGTAGTTATCAGCAGGGTTAGTGGACTGTTTGCCTCCTGATCTCTGTGAATCAGCAGCCCAGAAAGGAGATTTTCATTCACCGGACCAGGGTGCAATCACATAATGCACGTACCGTCAATGGCAAGCAAAGGTTCTTTTGCTAAATATTTATCAGTGCTTAATAAAATGTGATAGCCCTTGACATTCAGGCTCACAGATCTTGGCCAACTGAGTAATAATTGAGCATCCAAGGGGCTTTAAACACGGAGACAGCCTCTCTACTTATCTAAAACTTAAAATTCAAATAACGCAAATGGCTGTTTCGTATCTTCTATTTTAGCAGATTATCAGAATATACAGGTGAAGAAACACGTATAACGGGATTGAAAAAATTCCCAGAAAAAAGTCTCGCTCTTTTGTTATACATGCATGATGGGGCTGAATTTATCTCTGTCCCTCAGACAAAAATAATCTCTATCTTGTTCCTCCCATCTCCGCACCATTTCACTAACAGGTAAAATTAAAACAACAGCATACGATGTCGAAGAGAGGAGGGCAAAGGATAACCGCACAGAAAAGTAGAAAAGCTAAATATTTTGAAACGGTAATCCCGCCCAACTTTGGCTAGCCAATAAGAAGGCGAAAACAGCCTCTTCGGACCAATCAGGAGGTGTTCCGGGTTCCCAACCCCCAACAGGGAACAAACCAATCAGTATACAGGTCCACCAACTCAGAAGGCCGCCGCCAAGTCCCAAGGAGGGGGGGTATATATGGCCTGAAGGCCCTCCTCCACTCGGAACTCCTTTTGGGGCTGGATGTCTAGGTATGAGCTTGTTGCCCAGGCTAGGGAAAAGTTACATAATGCTGAGACTCCCTCGGCTTCGACCCTCTTCTCCCGCCCTTACCGTTCCGGAGCTGCCAGCCCCGGCAGTGGCCGCCGTGTCGGCCATCTTGCTCTGGCGTAATGTGCGCGAGCGCAGGGCGCGATGGGATTTGTAGTCGCGGGGCGGGGAGAGGGCGGAGCGGCGCGCGCCCCCTGGGCCTTTGGAAGCTTGCTGGGGTGGGGTAGGGTGGGGTCAGGGAGTTCTTCTGATGACCCGGCCCACTTGACTTCCAGTGAGCGAAGAGATGATGGGGCCCCAGTGAGCCTCGGAATTGGCCATGAAAATGAGCACTCGGTTTCACACCTATTTCAAGATGAAATCGTTCTCATAAAGAACACACTCCTAGAACGCTCCAAACTTGACTGTTAGTAACACCTGGCTGGGTTCCGCCCAATGCCAGTGACTCATCTGTGGGAGGGGCCTTATAACATGCATTGTTAAGCTCCCCAGGTGATTTTCCTGGCGGGAAATTTTGGTAATTCATGTTGTGCTTAAGACTCTGCAGCCCATTAATGGCCCAGTTGCAACTAGAATCTAATGACCACCTAGTCCAGGTAATCCACTGCACCCTGCTGCCTTCTCGCCCTCAATGCTCAGGTATTTGCATGGCGAGCCAGGAGGCGCAGGCGGCATGTGTCCCTTTTCTGCCTCTCAGGGCGTTGCGGTGCCTGTGGTTTTCTGTTCATTTGCCCGTCAGCCCCTCCGGATGGGGGTTATTCGTGCAGGGGCCGCATGGCGCCTTATTCGTCTCCGTTTGTGGGTGCCTGGGTTTAAATTCTAACACTTGCCATCGGTGGGACTACGAACACGGGACCGATCGATCCTCACTGTGCCTCAGTTTTCTCTTTTGTGAAACTGGGGTGGGATTAATAGTAGAAGAAAAAATGAGCTAATACAAAGGGACTGTCACGGTGCCAGACGAATAGTAAGAGGTCAAGAAACATCGCCTACTGTGTTTTTCCTGGGCAGCGCATTGATGAGTCGCTAACTCCGGGAAAGCAGAAGTCTTGAAACCTGTGCAGCACCTGCCCTGCGGCGCACACTGGAGCCTGGGGGGGCGCCTTCGCCCCCTCACCCAGGGCATGGGGGGGCGTGGCGTGCGGGCGGGGGGCCGCACCCGGCCCAAACCTTAGCTGAGCGGAGCATCCAGCCCCCACCTTGTCTCCCCCGCCCCTTCTTCCCCACTTCCTGCCCAGCTTTAAACTCTCGATTCGCCGCTCTGCTAGGACTTTGTAAACATGCGGCGCCTGCGGGGGTGGAGACGAGTTCTGTTTGGGAGCCTGGGGGAGTGGTGCACGCCCCTCCCCCAGGGCTGGAGGTTGCGAACTCCCACCTCCCCAAAGACGGGAGCCTGAGGCGGCGGGAGAGAGTGTCTGCGGCTACAATCGGTGCTCCGGGGGGCTCACCTGCCACGGAGGTAGGCTTGAAGGCTGGAGAATCCAAGATAATGGGGTGTCAGCATCTCCCCCTTTCTGTGGGGCCTCCAAACCCAAGCTGGACACCCGGGGTAGTGGGTCGGAGGTGGATGAGTTGAGGAGGTCACCGCGCTCTCATCACCTCCTAGTTGTCTTCCAGAGCTTGGTTCACTTTCTCTCTGAGTTGTTTTGCACGTAGTTGAAAGGCAGAGAAACCCTGGGCTCTGTATTCGCACAGCCCCCTCCAAGCTGACCTGGAAGCCCAGTAGTCTGTCGTTGTTCTTCATACCTGAGTGAGAGAGTTAAGAGGTGAATAGGAGGGCAGAACCAGTTGGGCAGGGAACCTTCAGGTTCTGCCAGCCAGGACCAAGGGAGGAGGCCAGAGGACAGGACTGGAAGGAAGGAGCCCCTTAGTGTTTGTCCCTTTGGTGTCTGATGGGTAACAAGTGATGTTTTTAGCCTTTTCTGTGTCTTTTAATATATCAACAAGAGGAATAACTGAAGAAAGTGGTTGCTGTTACCGAGAGCATTAATGTATTCATTTGCAAACACTGATTGAGCACCTCTGTATGGGATTGTATTGGATGCCGAGAGTGCAATGATGTTATTCACCCCACAGCTAGTGTGGGTCAGGAACAACAGAGATAAGGCAGAAAGCTTTAGTGGCTGGGAAGGCTTCAAAGAGGACATTTGAATTGGGTTCTGAATGATGAGTAGTCAGTCACCAGGCAGAGAGTGGTGGGGAGTCTTTGGAGGGCACTTACTTATCACACAGAGCTGTACTGAAGCCTGACTGTGGTGTTAGGCATTGAGATACCATGGGGACCCAGATGCAGTCCCTACTGTCTTTAACCGCCTGTCTAGGAATGAAGATGATGAATTCAGGGAAAGGCAAGTTTCTGGGCTAGTCCCCAAGAACCCAGAAATTCCCAGCTAGGTCCAGCTGGGAGGGTCCACCTGAGGATGATGTGACAGCCCACACAATTTTGGGTTACCTACTCCCCGTCCCTGGACTCTGGGATTGTTTCCTTTAACAAATCCTTGCTCTATGCCCCCCACCGCAGTTCCCTTTGGTACCAGACTTCGGTGAAGAGGACCTGCTTTCCCATTGCTTTTCTGCAGATTCTTCTGCTTTTATAATTCTCTTAAGTCTCCTTTGAGAGATGACTGAAACAATTTATGTATTCATTCAACACCTGTCTGCTGTGGCCGTACTCTGCACAGGCTAGATATTGAGAACATAATGGTAAACAAGTCAGAACTTCTACCTCCCTGGAATTTAGAATCAAAAGCATCTCTGAGAATTACAGCAGAATCCTCATCTATGACCAGTCCTTGAGACCATGACCTCTATGGTCCCAAATGCCTTCTCTTCCCTGTTTTCTTCTCTCAAGCATTTAGAATACTAGCTAATGCTTAGACAGCACTGTCAGGCACTCTTCTAAATATTTTAGGTGTAATGTCTCATTTAATCCTCCGAACAGTCCTATGAGGTAAGGACTAAGATTATCTCCATTTCATAGATGAGGAAACTCAGGTAGAGAGAATTAATGTTCCTACAGAGGACATCAGAAATGGCAGAGCTGGGATTTAAATCCTGGTCACTTGACTTGGGGAGCCCTGTTCTTAACTGCTAGGCAAGCCTGCCTCCTTGACTGATGAATAGAATGTGGGCTAGGAGCTTAGGAGTTTCCAAAAGGAACTCCATAGTCATGTATCATGGGTGATTCAGAGGAGAGTAATCTGTTATCCGAACGTGGTTGCTGGTACTGTTTACAGGGAGCCCCAGCAGGCCTGGAGTAGGATTGGGGCAATAGCGCAGAGCTGGTATCCTCTGCTAATGGCCGTGTGTGTGTGTGTGTGTGTGTGTGTGTCTGTGTCTGTGTGTCTGTGTAGGTCCTAAGCCTTCATCACCAAGAGGAACAAATCAAGGTTTGATGTAAGAAAGAACTCAACACAGATGTGATGTGTCAGAAGCTGGGAGGGTGGAGAACAGAAGCATCTCTTTTATTGGAATCTTTAAGAATAGCAAAGACCCTCACATTCTAGATTCCAAGAGGAGCAGTCCAACTTGATAGCTAAGTAATGAAGACAGTCAAGGATTGGAAACAATCTTAAGATGCTGTCCTCTCTTCCTCACAGCTGCTGCATCCCAAAGCTGCATCTGTGGATCTGACCCTGTCCCTTCAAGCAGGCTGGGACAATGCCTATGATGCAAACCAGGCCACAGGGCCGAGGTTCCATGGGTTCTAGCCATTTTCTCATTACCTTTCTGATACTCTAGGTTTCTCACAAGAGCCCTCTACACAGATCTGGGGAGGCCCTGAGTCCATCCCTCTCTGCCTGCAGTCAGACCAATCCCCCAGCATCTGTTTTTGGGAGAGGGGTGTGTATTGGGGGGGATGGGTGTTGATGCTGGGACTGGAGGGTAGCAGGTGGCCACAACAAGGTAACAGGCAAGCAGGATGTGACCATTCAGTACTACACAGGCTTCCAGGCTGTTCCTCTGCAACACACACCCCCCTTCTTCCCTTATCATAGGTGGGGTGCAGTGGAACCTTCAGTGTGCGCTGCCCTCTGCCCCAGGCGCTCTTGCTGGGGAGAACAGGTTGTACTCTTGAGAAACCACAAGAGGAAGTTTAGGGAGGGCTGGGGTGGGGAAAGTTCTGGGGCCCCTGCCAAGTTTCCCTTTCATTGCTGAGGGTAGATGTATTTAATTTTGGTGTGTTTCTTTTGCCCTCAAAGGCATTTAAATTTTAAACCCTCTGAGTTTTAAAGAGCTGTTGAGCCCTGCCCCATTACAACAGGAGAGTGCTGCCAGAGAGACCTTTGGAAAAAAGATTGGAACAGGGAACCCACTTTTTAGGTTTTACCTGGGATTCATGCTGGTTTGGAAAGGTTGACTCACTCCAGAAAGTCTCCTTTTCTCCTCTCTGCCCTTTCACCTTGCTCTTCCCCAAAGCAGCCCTTATCACCCGCCCTACATTCCTCAGAGGAATGTGGTTATAAGGGCCAGTTAGAAGCTGAATGATGTTGCCAGGAGCCGTCCTAAATGTTTTACCTGCCTTATTTAATGTTTACTGTAACTTCCCATAGTAAATACCTCTCCAATTTATAGGTGAAACAGTCTCAGAAAGGCTAGGAGACTTGTCAGAAGACACACAGCTAATAAGTAGCAGAGCTCAGATTTGAACACTGGTCTTATCTTATGTCAAAGCCTGTGCTCTTGTTGTCTAAATTAACCCTTAAATGGAGCGTCAACTTCCCCAATAGCAGACCCTGAACAATAGGGAGGTTGAAATCCAAAGATGTACTAAAAATGATGCCGCTAGTGAGGGG